CCCCAAAACCCCAAAACCCCAAAACCCCAAAACCCCAAAACCCCTAAGGCAAAAATATTAAGATAGCTTAGATAGAATAATAAATAGTAATACATTAAAATGCAGAACTAATTATCGAAAGATATCAACCAAATCTTGAATGCCTTCTAAACTATTGTCACTGAGTTAACTCCTTCAGAAAGTATGCATTTTATTAACTTAATATTCATAGCACCTGTCAATATGCTCATAAATGAGCAGAGCAAATAAATTTAAATGCCAACAGTTTTCAATGTTGACTATTCTGGAGACAGATCACTATATGCCAGTTTTCAGCCACCTTGCGCATCAACTTAGTAAATCCTTGGAGACCTTTTTTCTACTGTAATATTCTACTATGAGTTATTTTAACTATGGTATAGTATGATAAATTCATAAAGCCAATGGTTGAACCTAATGATGAAATCAATGAACTATTCTAAATTGATGAGAATGAGATTATGGCCAAGCATGTAGCATCAATTTTAGAAGAAGGAATCGATGAGCACGAATAGAGAGACTATCTTGATCATGAAGTCACTAGTATTTATCAATAGGCAATCCAATCGAATATTGAGAAAGCTAATGTGAGATTAGACACTGATCTGGCTATATCTGTCCCACAATTTAAACTTTTGACTGGGTAGATTTAAGGTAAATGATGATATTTATCTAATTGTTCTTAGGATATAATGCTCAAATTTCTCAATTAGTCCAAGATACTCTCGAGCTAAAATAAGATCTCTTAAAAGAAGAAGAACTTGATCAGTTGCTTAGGGATATTGATATAAGTGATTCAATAAATACTCTATAAGCAGAAGTTAACACTGCAACTCAACTTCATATAATTCACAAAGCATTAGAAGCAAAAAACATTGCAATGAACAGGAATTAAGAAAGAGGCACTGGAGAGGAGTCTAAGAACAAGTTTCAAAGCAACAATGAAATTGATAAGGCATTGATAGAGAAGAGAAAATACAACTAATCTCTGATTGAGAAGCAATAAGAAGCACAGCAAATCAAAGATGCTTAAATTTTGTAGAATTCCCAAATTATAGAAAAAAATATGTCAATCAATACATCATCATCAATAGATTTCGCTTTCAAAGATCACAATGAAGATGAGATTGAATTTATAGTACAAGATAATAGACCTTTGAGGGAGTAAATTGAGTCAAACAGGATTGAAGAAGAAAAGTTCAAAGACTCCACAATGCAAATAGATACCACTCTAAATGGAAAATAACAGAATGCAACAGAAATTAACAAGAAATGGTTCTAAGTCGATGAGCTGGATGTTAGAAGATTTTAGGAACTAGTTCCAAATATGGTAATAGAGTACCCCTTCGAGCTGGATGAATTCCAAAAAAGAGCGATATACAGACTAGAGTAGAACTGTTGTGTTTTCGTGGCTGCTCATACTTCAGCAGGTAAAACAGTTGTAGCTGAGTATGCTATTGCCTTAGCCTTTAAGCATGCTACAAAGACGATATACACTTCACCAATAAAGGCACTTTCAAATTAAAAATTCAGAGAATTCAAAGATTTATTTGGAGATGGTATGTTAAATTAGTCTAATATAATATATAGTCGGTATTAGAACAGGAGATGTAACTCTGAATGGAAGTGCTTCGTGTGTTGTCATGACTACTGAAATTTTACAGCAAATGATTTACAATGAGTCTGATTTTCTAAAAGATGTTGAATGGGTTATCTTTGATGAAGTCCATTATATCAACAATGAAGTAAGACATATCAATTTAAAAGAATACCAATAGGAAAGAGGTACTGTTTGGGAAGAAGTCATCATGAAGTTACCAGATCATATAAATTTTGTAATGCTTTCAGCCACAGTTCCCAATTACAAAGAATTCGCTGAATGGGTTGGTAGAACTAAGAGGAAGCAAGTGTATGTTTAAATGACTGAAAAAAGACCTGTACCATTGTAGCATAAGCTGCTTTATAAAGATAAATTAAGTTTGGCAAAGGATGAAAGTGGTCGTATTTAAATAGATGAAATAAAGAAAGTTTTAAAGGAAGAAGAAATTCATAACAGGTCAAAAGGAAGAGAGGACAATAAGACTCAGAAAGAGGAGTTAAAATAAGATGGGGATAAAAAAGAAATTGATTTTAAGGAAAAAGCAAGAAAAGCTAAAGATCATGCTCTCCAAAAAGCTGCTTCCAAAGGAATGAAGTAAGCTAATTCTGGAGGAGGTGTAGGTCCAAATAGCTAGAATAAAGCCAATATCAAATTTTAGAAATTTCATAAACATCTTTAAACAGTAAAGAGAGAAAATCTACTTCCTTGTGTAGTATTCTGCTTTGCTAGATCTGAATGCACAGATATTCCCAATCAACTACCAGAGACATTGGAGTTTACCACAGGTGAAGAAAAAGGAAAAATAAAGAATTTCTTGAAGTCAAAACTTCAAAGATTGAGTGAGCTTGACAGGGAACTACCATAAATTAAGAGTATCAAGGGACTTTTAGTTAGAGGAATAGGTATTCATCATGCTGGTATGCTTCCAATTGTGAAAGAACTTGTTGAAATTTTGTTTTCTGATGGTTTTTTGAAGGTAATTTTTGCTACTACCACCTTTGCTATTGGTCTAAATATGCCAGCCAGAAGTGTTTTCTTTACTAAAATTATGAAATGGAATGGAAATGAATCTGCCTTGCTTGAAACAAGTGAATATTTATAAATGGCTGGAAGAGCTGGAAGAAGAGGAAAGGATCAGTTTGGAACATGTATACTTAGCATTGATAGAACTTTTGGGCAGGTCCCTAAGTTAGATTAATTTGAGCAAATATTGGCAAATCAAGGAGACAGGCTAGAATCAAAGCTAAGACTAAGTTATCAGTTTGCCTTGAATGTTGTTTAGTCAGACGATCTTGTGATCAATGAAGTCCTCAAGCAATCTTTCTTTGAAAATGAGAATGAGAAAGAGAGAGTGATTACTTAAGATAAAGTTCAAAAACTTCAAATTAAAATCTAGAGAGCCCAGTATATTGAGTGTGAATGTGCTTCAGTTGATGAATTATAGACTGTTCACGGCATTTATTAGGGACTTTGCGATGTCAATAGAAGAATTTTCACTGTGCAAAGAAAGGACTTTGTTTAAATGGGAATCATTCAAGTTATCACTCCAAGATTTGTATTCTAAAACTTGGTAGTAATTTAAGAATGGACTGAGAATAAGGATGAATTGATTTGCCTTTATATCAATCAAAATTACCGAGAATCTAATCTCTATTCTGAATATGAGTAACTCTTTGAAAACACAAGATTGAATTTTAAGGGATTCAATTAAAATAATGTGTACTACGAACTTGTCACAATTAACATTAGAAATGTTGTTAAACTCTATTCCAATGTAATTAAATTAAGTTCTAAAGTCAACTTGGGAAGAGGAGGATAAATTGTAAGTTAAATTTATGTAATTATAAAATTTTTAGCCAGTCGGACCTTTGAAAGATATAATCTTCCAATTTCTTGATATGAGAATATTCCAAGAATGGAAGCTAGGTCCAATGACAAACAAAGAAGTTAAGGAACAAAAAGTTCTATTAGATTCAATTAATTAATTCAAGTGCATAAAATGTCCAAAAATTAGTGCCCACTTGACTTAAATTGCTTGTCTAGATTCATTTACGTAAGAATTGATAATATTCACTAAGCTTAATCTAGGTTTGACCTTGTGAACTGCAAATCTTTATTAGATGATAAAGATCTTGAAAAATCAAATGATTTTTCTTCAAAAATTAATGTTTTAATGCACTACGGCTATTTAGATAAAGGCTTAAATTAGAATTTCAAAGGCAGAGTGTTCCAGACTTTCTCTACAAATTAGTTTTTGCTTACTGAATTAATATTCTCAGGTCTATTGATAGATTTATCGGATGAGGAATTAATTGCACTTATATCAACACTTGAAACATAGAATAGATCAAAAGTGGATGAATCTGAGGCTAAAATAAGTGAGTCATTCTAGGCAGCTTTAAACTTCTTGGTTTCTGAAGCTGAGAAATTTATGTAGGCTGAAAGAGAATTTAAGGTATCAGGAGCGAATGATGATATTACTAAATTACTGTGTTTGTAGTACTATGAGATTCTTTATCACTGGGCTAGCTAGAAATCATTTGCAGAAGTTGTCAAGATTTAGAAAGTAGATGAAGGAAATATCGTCAAAGTTGTTTAGAATGTAGCTAGGTTACTTACTCACATGAAAAATGCTGCAAGAGTAATTGGAGATGGCCAACTAGCTCAGAGAATGGATAACTGTGCAGTTTTGATCAAAAGAGATATCATATTTACACCTAGTCTTTATCTTGAGTGAGAAATTAATTTGACTCTTAATTTCTTTACATTTTCTATTTAGCCTATTTTCGATGAGTGGGGTTTTGGGGTTTTGGGGTTTTGGGG